CGCAAATCCCGCGAAGTCGCAAATCCCACGAATCCCGCGGATCCCGACAATCCCGCAATTTTGGACAAATTCTACCGCTGCAACTGTACACCTTATACACAGGTGAGCCTAATACTCCGGAAATCAGAATATATGTTTATTATCTGCAAAGCGACTATATGAAAAGAGTATGAACGATAAGTAAGGGAAATTGTTCAACTTCCAGCGAAAAAAATTTGCTAAAAATTCATTCTGAGGACGCTAATCACACTATTGATTACTTCGATCAAAAGAGACACATATTTACCGAAGTACCAAAAACCTAAATAACTGTTTTCAAAACGTTTCGTGGAATCACTATAGAATAGTTGAGAAATCCGCACATTCAAACGCTCATAACTCTTTCCAGATAGTCGCTTGGCAGATAATACATATATTCATCTGGAATCAGTGTCTCAAGACGAGATGCGGTAACATACAGCTTGATTGAAATAGCTGGGTTAAGTTCTGACCAATTCCTGGCTAGTAGTCGGGAACGTATTGACCAATCGCACGGCGATCGCAATCTCATGACAAAAAGCAGGCATTTCAGTGGATTTTCTTTCAACTCCTCTTTAGCGTCTACCAGCATCTGGTAAAGCCGTGCAGCCAACGATTCGATGTCCTCCGAGGGATCCTTCAAAACATGGAGACGGTTCCATTGGCATCGAATCAGCGTTGTCCTTTCGCCAAACAGGGATGTCAGTCAGCACTTCCGTTAGCTGTTCGAACGAGAGCGCTAGTATATCTTGCAAGGTGTCCTCTCAGCTTGGCGCGTCGTTGTCTAGTTTCGTAGATAGCCGAGCGTAACGCTCCTTTTCGGGAATCGAGTTGATGGCACTATCTTCTTTGATCTGAATATCTAATTCTCAAAGGTATATCCGTTTTCGAATTCGTGATTGAAGAACGTTAATCTCGCCGAAAGTGCTGAGTAGTTGCATAACGTCGCAGGAGCAGCAGTATGTTCCAAACGTTTCGAAAGGTTCTGCTTGCTATCATGAGTACAGTCTGCTGCATCAGCTGAACGAAACTTTCATTAAGTGCTCAAAGTGGTTGCCATCCCTCAACGAAGAATTCCTTGTCCGATTCGTTTGATTCAGTAATGCTCCGGCCTATCCACCCAAGTCCTGTAGTACTAATCTCCAGTTATTATAATCATTGCTTTCGTTGGGTGGAACCGGACAGTGAAATACTTAGCAGTTCATTAGCTGATCGGAAGAATAAATAATTTATCAAACATTACGGTAACTATACATGCCCTTAAAAACGTACCACTCGGTATTAGGCATCTGACAAGGGAAGGATACTTAATCGCACTGACGATTGGGTAAGCGGTGTATGCCGCGCATACCGTCCCCAGACAGTGATCTCTGAACTGCAATCCATATCTGCTATGACGTCATTCTGGAGGAGTTTTAAAGGATTTTTGGTGCAGTGGATAGTGGCTTGGACTGCTTGTGGGTTCGATTCCTCTGAGAGGCCTCTCGTTTTGCATTTTTGTAAATCTTAGCAGACAGATTGCAAAACCTGTCTACATTTAAAAAAGTTGATCTTTACAATTTGAAGCAATATAACATTTATTGGCACCCACCCAACTAGTTCTGCATCGCTCATCAACTGGCAGCTGCAGCTATTTTTAAATCTACCTCTGCGCTAGTGCACACACTTCACAAACTTGGATGGAATCTGACGACAGTGAGTTTCAGTGCAGCATGTTATTTTTGTTTGTTCTGTTGATTTATAGATCCATTTGTTCTTCTAAACTCGAACACTTATCATCTATCCATGATTTTCATGCTCGTTTATCGGTCTTTTGTAGGTTTTGACTAACTTTTGTCGGAACGAAAACGAAAGTATGGATATACATTACATATTTTTTTCAGATTTACCGCTTACTTCCATCTTGTATGCGACTGATTGTAACGACGCGATCATTAGCACCGCCTGATCAGTACTAATCGAGCGTTTTCATAGTTTCATAGGTCCTGAGCGATTGTAGGTTTGTAACTTTTGTTTGACATTCTAAGCTAAAACTTCAAAATTGTTTTCTTAGGCGTCGACGAGCTGGATCGTTTCATTGAAGTTCGACTACAACATCCCCTTAAAACTATGTAAGATCTTATCTATCAATTCTATCCCCATCTACTTGGTATACTGACAAAGCTATCATTTTTCTCCTTCTTGGACTTTCGTGTATATTGTCGCTTCCTTGTTTTGATTTTTGCGTGAAGACGTGTTCATTGACTTGTATGATATTTCATTGAATTCCGCGACATTGTAAACGCACTAAAGTCTATCCTAGCCAAAAGTTAGAGACGCCATGTTACAGATTTTTTGAAGCAAGACAACTTTTTAAGAAAAACAGTCAACTGGTACTGAATTTTGAGCTAGTTGCTATTCTAATTTTATATAGCGAACATAGGGTTTATCCCAAACCTTGATTAGCACGTACATGTTTCACTTATTAAAGGGCTATCAACAGCAACTCCGCTTTGAGATGAGAGGTTGAGACCGATGTTTGTTGCAAATATCCTTCTACGCACGAGTTGCAATCATTTATTATTCTATGGTTATATCCTTCTTCATTCTGTTAATAGAATATCGGTAATGAAATTTGATAATAAGTCACATTTTAATCAGGTTTGCTAGTGCCAAAGCTCTAGAAATGTTTCGATCCACTCTTTACTATATCGCGCATCTATACTCTCTCAGCATCGCTACCTTCAAAAATTAATTGAAGAAAAGATCCGTAAAAGTCGTGTTAAGGCAAGTTACTTTGAGTTTCTTTCTTCGCTTTATTGAACGAGTTCTTTTCAATACTGTTCGTTGTAAATTCTTTCTTGTGTAATGATGTATCTTTGTTAGCTTTACTGGTATTTATACGCATGAGTGACTAACTAGAGAAGCACGATAAGCTGCTGGTAAAACGTTCCGCAACATATGTCCATTTCTAACCCGCGAGGTTCGTTCCTCTCTCCGCCCCTTCAGTTGACGGTGACATAATATTTCCCGTTTAACCAGCAGAAACAATGGTTGCTACATATGGGTATTCAAAGGGAAATTTGTCGTGAAGGTTTGTTTCTGACGGAAATCCTCAATTTTTGCTCTTTTTATCTTCAATTGGTTTGAGTGCATCGCTTGGAACTATCTTATTCCGGATCTAGGCCAGGTCTTGGGATCCTAAGGCTCCCGCCAGAGTGCCGAAGCCATGCCAGCATACGCCAGCGCCGAGAGCGTTTCGATCGACACACGCGTATTTCGTTGGGGCGGGGCTAGCTGACCTAGTTCTCAGCAGGTAGATGTCTCCAACGAAATACACGTGTATCGATCGAAAAGCTGGCTTGGCGCTGGCCTAGCGCTGGCATGGCTTCGGCACTCTGGCGGGAGCCTAAGAAAGCGGTATTGGGAGCTGCAAACGGGTTGAATAAATGAATCGTGCTAGCCGATGATCCTCTGTGGTATACCAGTGCAGAACAGGTATACCATTTGTTTACAAATTCAGAGGGCGTTTTCGACTAAGTCGACGTGGCTTTTATAGTTTACTAGCGCTGCTACATGAAGATTTATCACCTTCGACCACAAGGACTGCGTCGATTTCGAGCTGTCATAAGCTCGCCATCTTTCTAGAACATGTGGGGAGTGTCAATATGCAGGTGCACATATTTACTTACAGAATGTGGCTGCGTCACATTGTAACTTCAGCGGACAATAGCTATTACCTTAGGCTGTTCACAGCCGCCAGTCTGGCGCATTATCGCGCAGGTGTCCGATGTGTTGTATCGCAGAAGAAACGAATTTATTAGATGGCCAAATGAAGAAGAACGCAACATCCAGAGAAAGCTAGTGCCATGATGCAAACTTATTGCATTGTAGGCCATGTTTTAGGTTTTACGAATTATGTGGGATCCCCCATGTCATCGGGGCTTTGTACGGGTCCCATGTAAAAATTCTAGCGCCAAGCGTATGTGAAGATAGCTACGTCAACAGGCAAGATCTAATTGATAATGCAAACGAGCAATTAGCTTCATGTATTCAGAAAAGATTTCCATTCTGTAAATATGGGAGCAATTTGTGATACTGAGCAGCGTTTTATTTGAGTTAACTCTAGATTCCCAGGGCTAGCACACGATTCTCGTGTAAGTGACAAAACTTGCCGCTTTCTGGCATTTCAAAATCAACTTATTTTTTGAGATATTTCGTAGCAGTGCAATATACAGGGATTTTGTGACAGGAAGAAAAACCGGCATTCACCTTGCAGATAGCGCATATAGTTCGGAACGATTTCTTTTAAAGCCGTATTAAGAGATGACAGAACCCGGTAGGTTCATAACCGACTAGCATTCAATCTCTATGAAAAGAAATAATTTTAATAGCACTATTTACGGAAGCACTTTGCAGAGGCAGGGTTATCATAGAGAATGTGTTTGGATCGTTAGAAAGGCAGCTTTCGTCGTTACACGCAAAACTAAGGTGCGCGAGCACGAGCAAGCATCACAAAACCATGAGGCATGATCTCGCCCGTGCCGCTAAGATAATCGTTTTCGCGTGTTGCGTGAGAAACTACTGCATCAAGACTAGAGAAAGACCCTTCGGTGAGGATGAAGGAGTACAGCAATATCCCAATGCCAGTGACAGTGAAGCGGATATCCCGGATGTAGGGGAAAACGCCAATATGCGCAGATTTATCATCGAGAGATATTTCACATAGAAATAGACGCAAGATTGCTTATATCACACAAGTATTTTTGAGAGGTTGATTTGATTACTTACTTTTTTTCCTACATTTTATACTTAAAAGGTGTTCTTAAGACCTTTGCATGAAAATGGTTCCGGTACGACCTGAGATTGCCTCACGTCGTGTTTGAGCAATTTCTAAATCCCTGGCGTTAGCATAGTTGTTCTATAGGTTCTTCGCTCTCTATTATAAACTTAAAGTCATTAGAGCCAAGTTGAATTCATTCCTAGTATTTATAATCTGAAATTTAAAAGGTGAGCTGTTTGCAAATGCTGTATCGGGCTGCAATGCTCTTAGGTTTTGATAATGCCAGGTCGGTTGTTGCTGGTTTTTTACGACCTTCCTCAAATGTTTCAGGTGAATTATCCAAAACAACCTCTTCTTCTTCTCCAATTGCATTTTTGAAATGTGATTGGCCCGAAACTGAAATGATTGAGAGCATATAGGCTATGCTTGAGTGAAGGTCGATAAGTTTGTGGACACTGCTCACACAGTACGCCCGCAAAAACAGCTTACATTTATTTTGCCTTTCAAACTACTTTCCGCCTCAGATTAATCGCTTGTTCTGTGTTTCAGTACCTTGGTGCGTACTGCGTGACCAATGTCCGCAGCCGATACAACCTTCACAATCTGGCAAAACCCTATACCTTATTCCTAACCCGTTCGGAGCAAGTGCATCGTCAGACTTATATTCGAGCTCGCCATCCGATTCTTCATCTGAAGCATTTTTCAAGCTAATTGAGAAGAGTCAGTTTTGTATAACTCCTCACCTAAACCGAGTACTCCGAATATATGGTGCTTTTCCGCAAGATCTTCTACGAGCGGATGAAGATATGATGGCGATTTCAGCAAGTTATATACACCTCCGCCTGTCCCCTTGTATTTCTTCTTCTATAGAGACTTGGTGAAAAACGAGTGTCTAACAAAAGTAAAAAGCCACTCACTTCCTCTCGAAGAAACCGCTGACCTTTTTTGATATCATTCTTGATTTTTTCTTCTATGCTTTCTTTCGACCATATTGCGAACCCAAGATTCGTAATCTCTCTACTCCAATCATTTAGTAGGTTCTGGCGGACATTTTCGCCTGATTTACTGCCTGACGATGATTATCCATGAACAAGAACTTGGCAAGAAGGGTCATGCATTTACCGGATTTGAATTTTCCATGAAAGTGCTCCCTATTTTCTAAATAAAGGGCAATCAGCTTCTTATTCTCCGCTTCAGTAAAAACGGCGTTTCGGTCCTCTCGGTTTCTTTGTTTGGGACATCTCACTCAAAAAACTCCAAAACGTGCATGGGAGGCTGCTAATTAACATTAAACAGACCTACAACTCATTAGGTTAAGGTGTAAATAAAGAGAAGGAGAGAAAGAGAAAAGGGGGAGATAATTTGCAGTGAGTTAGAAGGAGAGAACCAAATAAATTCTATGGTAGAGGACTTGCGAATAAGGTTTAAAGCACAAACAAGATAAGAAAAGCAATTATCAAAACATGCCTTAGTTATTCTAATTCTTTCCCCACTTCACTATATTTAGGCGGATACAGTGCACCTTGTTGAGCTGGTGCAACCCTAGCTGAATTATTAGGTTGGAAACTAAGTTTTGCAACTGGTCTCATAACTTCCCTCTCACTCAACATGGCGCGCTCAAATTTTGCCACTGCGTTGGTTATTACGTAAGCTACGAGCGCAGCTGCTGTACTACCAAATTCTGACGTCGCAGTGAGGGTTACGGTAGGTGCATGGTATGAAGGGGAAAAATTCAAAGTTTGACGGATTTGGCTGAAACTTGGCATAGGGGTGTTATCCCACATGCTGATCACGAAAACGATAGTGAAATTGCGTGATAAGGGCTATTTTGTAGGATTACTGTAGGTGTACGATATGGGGTCTCACTCTAAACAAGGAAAAAGGCGTTGATTCAACAAATAACTGTGATATTCGCGTTTGCCAGGTCAAATAATCTTACTATGTAAAGTCTCGGCGGAATTTAAGCTTCGGACTCTTTAGTCATTGACGGTCGTCCTCAGCAGCTCTTGTGTACATCGACTCGTTCGACTTTATGAGGACGCCAAATCTCGACATGCCCCTAAATTATGTTTCTTTCTTACTAGGCCAAAGGAGTCATCCTTCAGCGATAATTTATAGACGAATACGGATTACTGCGCATGGTCTAGGCTGCCAAAGGCTTCATTTTAGCTTGAAACCCTAAAACCTCAAATTTCACTAGTTTTCGAAAAACGCCTGAAACTTTTCTATTTCGTGTTCAAAATTCAAACAATTTGTGCTCACTTGTAGCTCACAGTGCCTTCTACATAATGCCAAAGTTTGAGTGTGCCATATCCAAAGAGAGTGAAGTTATGAAACCAGTTGCAAAACTTAGATTCCAGTCTAATATTAGGTTGATGCAAAAGAAATGGCCGATTTTTAAAGCCTTTTTTCAGGGCAACTTTTTCCATCAATACTTCTTCATTACAAAAGATGTAGTATATTGTCGTGAAGCTGTTTTCATGCCCTATCTAATAGTGCTCGAAACGGGCTTTCATCCTCATCTCTTATAAAGTTACTGAGCTTCAAATAACCTCATCCAAATTCAGAATTTCATTGCATTCACTTTTCTGGCCAGAATTCAAGCGCGTATCAATGGGAATTCTTCGAAAATTTAACTATTGTATGTAATAGAGATTTTTTACATTATGCATACTTAAATGCATTCTGTGAAGTTATCCAGACTGAAATATCGGCGCCTAAACATGGGTAGCTGTTGCGGTCATTTTATGACCCATAATTTTCTTCTAAGGCCCGTATGCACTAACATTTCTGCGGCGAGGGGAGCGGCGTCCCCCATTATGAAGGGACCGCGTGCGGACGCCGCTGCGGCTTTTTCATCATTGGGGACGCCGCTCCCCTCGCCGCAGGGATGTTAGTGCATGCGGCCCTAAGTCAGTCGTCGAAGCTTTGCTCAATTCTGTAAGCGTGGAGCTAGGACATTTACTAGCAGTTTTTGCAAAAACATCGAGCTGTTCAGTACGTAGAAAATTAGAAAATTCTATATTCCGGACTTTGAGGCACACTGAAAAAATGTAGAAAAAACTGAGAAATTTTAATTTTCAATTTTTTCTTTCTCGCAAACTTTTTTGTCCGAATTCTTTTTATTGTATTTTGTACTACTGGCTTGTGGCTACAAGATAGGCCACTTGTCATTCATACTAAGAAACTTTGAAGAAAGAATTGTCAAAAACAAGGTTCCCGCAGAAGAACCTTTTTTTGTCTTTTAGCCGTATTTCTCTTCCCGTTTATGGTTTGAGTATAAATGAGTATGCGCTATATTGCGAAAGGCTTGCTGCTTCTGCGGGTCTTTATCGCATTTAGAAATGTGGATTTTTTAGAAAGTTATAGCACATCAAAGTGAGAATTCGCAAATCGGCTATTCCTTTTGCATCAACCTAATATAATGAAAATTGCCGCAACCCCGTTTTCATTTCCAAAATGCTCAGTACAGGAGCATACTTTCTTGACTGAACAGTTTTTTTCCAAAAGCGACCGAGATTCACTATCACTATCAACAAAAAAAACGTTGTTCTTTACGTTGTTTTATAATTAACGTATTTCATTGAGTTTATGGAAAAAGTTTACAATAAACTGCGACCTCATATTCGAAGTCGCGATTTAATTTATTCTAACAGCATTTCTAGCTTATTGGTATTCATTCAGCGGCAAAATGTATTTATTAGTGGCTCAAAACCCTCTTCAAAGTTTTTGTAATAATCTCACACTAATCAAAAGAACTGGGTGACCCACGCTATACTGTAAATTGTAAACTGTATTGTAAGTACCTACTGAACAGTGTTTAACTTAGGCAAAAGACTTTGTGAGGAAGGATTTGGGGAAACTTGTATATGATATTTGTGTTATGGTCCAACATGCATACACAGAGACCAAATCATCGATTGGCTTTAACAAAATCAAATATTAGAAAGTCAACTTAATTGCCTCGGGTAGGGTTCAAATGCCAGCCTCTTTGGTTTGCTCACAGAAATTTCTATGAAGCCAGAATCGTACGAAATCTTTCTAGCTATAATAATCTTTGGAATATAGGCTACTCGATGATTGTCGCCATTGGTCTATTTATCGTGACTTTCTAGCACTGCTTTGTCAAATTTATACGCCCTTTAAGACTTTTGTTTCTCTCAGACCGCTCCCCTCTCGCTTGCCTTTCTTACACGCCGTATTCTTTCAAGCAGAAAAAACCTGCTCACTGTAAAATTTAGAAAGTTTAAAAAGTCGTTGTGAGAAATGTTTTAACGTTTCTGAATTGAAAAATACGCAAATCGGACAGAACATGGGGAAAAACTAGTATGTGATGTTAAGTTGAATTGGTTTGTATTGTTGCATTAATCTGATTGATTTCAAGCAACTTTTCTGACTTTTAAAAAGTCAAAAAACCCACCAATGAAAAAGAGCCCAGCTGAAACTTGATAAGAAGAGTCACGAATGATGAGGTTTGTTAAGCGACGCTTTGATAATCTCTCGTCAAGCCAACTTGGCTTCCAGCTTGGTCAACGTGGTTTCGAGTGAAGAGCACGATATGAGGTATGATGTAGTAAAAGTCAATTGCACGCAGCAATATACACATCTAATAGATAGATCAAACTACTTTTATTAAAGTTTAATTATTTAAGCCCGTAAAAGGCTTTAGTGAGGCAGAAGTTGTTCTATTATACCATATACACGTCATAGCACGCCTAAGTGAATGTTATGTCGCAACCTACCTCAAGTTAGCCTTCCAAGTAGATTAATAGACCTCTCACCTTAACTTGAAATGGGTACCTATCATCGTGTCGGTAAAATATTTTGCACATTCACTCACTGTCGCAACTGCTCTATGTCGGACAAAATGCTGACTTATATAGTTGATGTCAAAAGAAGAACCAGACAAGTGCATTATCCAAAGAAGTAATTGTAAAATTCAGATGTCGCAAAGAAATAAGCCAAAAAATGGACCAAAGCGGCGTTTTTACATAAAAAGCTCATTACCCTTTATTTAGAGAATAGAGAGCAATTTAAAAAAAAAGTTGAAGTCCAGTAAAAGCATGACTTTTCTTTTCGAGCTATTGTTATTGGATATTACTAGCTATTAGATTTTAAATTGAGCAAAAATGTTCTCCAGTACCTAATAAATGTTTGGAGTAGACAGAACACAAATCTTGGGTCTGCATGACGCTCGAGAGAAAGTATAGAGGAAAATAGGAATGAAATTAAAAAGGGCTAAGTTCTCTCGAGAGCAAGTGAATGGCTTTTATGCTCTTGTTGGATTCTCATTTTTCACCGGGGCATATATATAAGAAAAAACAAGGGAACAAACGTATAATTTACCGAAAACAACCATCATATTTCTAACCCCTCGTCGAAGCTTTTGCCGAAAAACATCACAATGATGTGGTTACCCGGTTTGGGTGGTGAGTTCCATAAAACTGGTTGTTCTTGTTTAGCTTGAGAATTTCTTAGGATGAAGACTCCAATGGCGAGCTCGATAATAGCGGAAAGCACGAAACGAGGCTTGTGTGGCTGAGCTAAGAATGGAGGAAGCTAGACTTTTAGTAGAAACCACAGAGGCGAATCTTCCCCGTGGCACCATCTCCCTTACCCACTATTTTATAATATAACACAGATGCAGTGGGAATCCCATGTTGTGTGATTTCAAAAGCTGCAAAATATTGAGTTGAAGTGTTTACCATGATATTATGCTGTTGTAATCGTGTATTTCTCAAGTAATGTTTCTCAAGAACATTCTTATGCACTGTAGGAGTTTGGATCTTACTATATTTATATGGCCCTGTACTTCAGTTACCATCATAACTACTTCAGACTCATTCAGATTATGGAAGATAAAAAGAGAGAAATCTTTGTCTTAATCAATACGTCGTTTCCTTGTGTATTTCGCAATGAGTTGGTACCCTAGACCTGCTCGACGACAGGAAATTC